CTCTCCCCTTACAGACCTTCAAATCGCAGCAGTGATCCTCAAGCAGGGTCTGATCACCCTCCCGAAGCTACACCGATGTTCCCTCTGACCAAATTGAAGCCACGTAACTTGGAAAGGGCTACGTTCCGAATACAACACACCCCTGTGCTCTATTCAAAGTGTAGGTAAAATCCACCAACACTTAAAAAACACAACAGTGCTAAGCAAGACCACAATGTACAACGATGCACAGCGGCACACAACCACTGTGTGCAACAACAACACTAAAAAATAAGGCAATGGCAGCAACAATCTTCAAGTTTCGGCAACAACAGTAATTGGACCTCAGTTCGTATAGATGTTGCACAAAGTAACCAAGCAAAATAACAATGTTTGGTAACAAGCTCCATAAGTGCGATGAATCACGTCAATTCGCAGATAAGGGTAGGCAAAGCTCAGCGCCCTATGGTAGCAAGATCCGACAAAAACACAATAAAACACAGTAAATCAGCAGTGCGCGCGACAGCTACTCGAGATGGCAGAGGGCGCAATAAGAAGCAACAGTAAACTGCCTCAGCAACAACGGAACTGAAACACCGAAAAACTGCATCAACTTATCACAACCCTGTATGGCAAATAACCGGCTGAGCGAACAATAAAAATCTTCTTTTAAGTCACAAGGTTTTGGAGAGAGGGGGGGGCTGTAGAAGTCCGTATAAGCAACACAGTGACTCGAACCCCAAACGCATATCCTCTGACTCATTTGCCCACGGTCTGCTGCAAAGGTTTTCCATAAGAATCTTCCACAGGTGGCGTGCCATTGTAACTACGGTTTTCCCGATAGATTTTGAGCTCATATCGCTTCCATGACCTCTTCATCCTCTCAGCTTCAAATGGCTGTGGCGATATCGATGGGCTCTAACACGTTCGTCTGCCTCTCTCTAACACTCTTTCTCATACACACACACATACCCACACACACACACACGTGTGGCAGTGTATATTTCCATGTTCTAGTGGTATATTCATTCCGTTTTGCTCATCTTATCGATTGAAGTACGACGAGGTCAATCGCGAGGTTGGAAATGTACTTGGGAGTAAATAAAACTAGAATTTTTCTTTTATCAAAGTCTAATTTGAATTTCTTTCGGAATCAAGTATTGCAAATTTTTTTATTTTTTTTTCTGCTTATCTACTTGCATCTATAATTGTGCAAGGGTTTGTCTATTAGAAGAGTTTGTCTGCTAGATAGTCTGTATGTTTATCTATTTCTGGGTAACACCCGTACGGAGTGTGTACGCGTACGTATTCCTGCATACAGGTATGAACCCAAAATCACGAGTACTCGTATGAAGAAAAAAAAAAAAATCTTAAAATTTATAAAAAAAATTTATGTTGTGCAGAATAGCAATACAAACAACGGTTGTCAGGGAGTCACACCCGAATTCCCATCAAGCTCGATTTAAAAATTCAAAATCTTTAAAAAAAACTTATGTACGGATTCGGACCGCCCGGCTGACCGACGCCCGTCCGGGGGAGGTCCCGGGCGGGAGGCCCGGTTGGGGGTTGGGCACCCCCAACACACCTTGTTGGCGGGGGGTTTCTGACCCCACATCAGGTGGTTTTGGCCTCCCCAGGGCCTACTGGGTCCGACCACGCCGAGAAAACTGCGCGTCTGCCCTGTGAGGCCTGTTTTTTTTTTTTGGATTTGGGACGGCAAGCGCCGTTCGTTTTTGGAGGGAAACGGAGGCCCCGTTTGAACTAGCGATTGGCTGGGGCGGCCTGCATTGGCTGTCCAAACGGGGCCTCGATAGATGCTCCAGCCGCCTGCGTTCGTGTTGCTGCCCGTCGTCGAAGTAGCTGCCCTCGTCGCCATCGCCTAGGAGCTTCACTCGCCCGTCGTCGTTGTGTCGCTCGTCGCCTGTCGCCGGTTTCGTCGGCCAGAGGGCAGTTCGTTTTTGGAGGGAAATGGAGGCCCCGTTTGAACTAGCAACTGGCTGGGGCGGCCTGCATTGGTTGTCCAAACGGGGCCTCGATAGTTGCTCCAGCCGCCTGCGTTCGTTCTACTGCCCCTCGTCGAAGTAGTTGCCCTCGTCGCCATCGCCTGGGAGCTTCACTCGCGTGTCGTCGTCGTGTCGCCCGTCACCCGTCGCCAGCGTCGTTGATCGTGGTGCTCCTGCCTGCCGACATCCCTTGCCGCCCGTCGACGTGGAGTGTCGGTCTTCTTCTTGTTCTTCCCTCCTCCTCCTCCTCCGCTCATTCTTCTGCTTCTTCTTCTCTCGTCCTCCTCCTTCCCCCCCTTTTTTTTTTTTTTTTTTTTTTTTTTTTTTTCTTCTTCCTCTTATACTTTTTTTTTTTTTTTTCTTCCACGACTTCTTCACTCCTCCTCCTCCTCCCCCTCTCATCTTTTTTTTTTTTTTCTTCTTCATCTCTCATCGTTGTCCTCCCCCTCATTTTCTTCTTCTTATTCTTCTCTCCTCCTCCTCCTCTTCTGATTATCTTCTTTTTTTTTCTTTTTTTTTACATTCGTTAAGGATAGGTCGCGAGATAAACGACAAGTAAGAAGAGAAAAAAAAAAACTGCTCCGCTCGTCATCTTCTTCTTCTTCTTTTTCTTCTTCTTCTACTCTCCTGCTCCTTCTCTTATCATTCTTCCGCCTCTTGTCTCATCCCCCTCCTCCCTCTTTCATCATCATCTTCTTCTTCTTCTTCTAGTTCTGCTTTTCTTCTTCTTCGAGTTCTTCACTGCTGCTCCTCCCCCTATCATCTTTTTCTTCTTTATCTTCTTATCTCCTCCTCCTCCTCCCCCTCATTTTTTTTTCTTCTTCTTCTCTCCTACCACTCTTCCCTCCGCCGTACCCTGCCACCATACCCAGGCGCC